CGGCCCCTATCAAACTCACTAAGTTGACGAAATCGTACAGGTCTCCGTACTCTAGGCATCGTAACCGATCGTAAAGGATGTCAAGAACCAAAATCCGCCAACGTTGATTCTTTAATGCGGCTGAAATATTCATTTTTAGAGCGTTAGTGAATTAAAAAAAAGCAGTATAAAAACCGGAATGTCCAACTGATAAGGCTGAAAATTTTTTCACTTGTTATTTACAGTAAGATAAATACATTCACCAACTTTTATTAAAATAAAACCATTTAAACTGGGTGTTCGGATTTATATGTCACTTAGTATACTTGAGATTCTTTAAATCCGTAGGATTCATACTTCTAAATAACAACAAAATTGGATTATATTGGTCAAGCAGTTTTTGAGAATTTCTAATTGTTTATCCCAAAACACCTGTTTTCCGGCCATCACTACTACTTTATTGAGCAACAAAGATTACGTTTTTTTTTTCTTCAAAGCAAATTCCAACATTTCGTATTTGTGAGTAATTGAACAAATGCGCTTCGATATCCAAAAAACATACGTTACTATTCACATCTTAGAACAAAGCGGATGTGTCTATCATCTTTTGTTGCGAGTAACTCACAAATACGAAATGTTTGAATTTGTTTAGAAGAAAAAACGTAACCCACCTTTTTTGCACAAAAATGACATTTATCTTCCGGCATGGTTCGCGGTTTATATCGGCAAGGTAAACTAGAGTATTTTGCTATAAAATGCCCTTTGAACTAACCCCGTATATTGCTCAATAAACTAGTAGTGATGGCCGGAAAACAGGTGTTTTAGTAACTTTTTTGCTATTACTTGGATGTTATTGCGTGTGGTCTCATTTATATTTAAAAATCTCATAGAAAAAGTTTATCTGTTCCTGCCTGCAATTTCAGTTGTATCCCAAAAAACAAGTTTTCTCATTCTTCTTCCTTCGAATAAAAAGTTTTCCCACAAAAATTATTGTACCCATTTTATGAGTCCATGTTTTGAATACCCCCTTGAACAACTTGCAGCAATAAAACCAGACCTTATATATTTTCGTCTGGTGTTCCGATTGACCACGTTTACATTGTATAGCCAAAAGCTTTGTAGCCACGCACAGCCCAGTGTAAACGGGCAAGTACGTATAGAACTAGGATATCTGTCGCTGTCTAAGCGCTTGGCTATGTATGGTGTAAGCGGTCTTTATTTTGCATTATCAGAAATATCATACCTGTTTATGGCCAAAAAGCCTGATGGTACTCCTTATGACGAACATAAGGTCACCTATACTTTGTAATTTCCATTAAATCTGAGCATCATAATTGGGATCGAAATGAAGAATAGCCATCTTTTAAATAAGTTTTATTTGTCCTTGATACTGTGCTTTTCAAAAAGGTCCTTCCCGCGTAAGTATTTTTTGAACTGGTCAAGTTAACAAACTGGGGTGTGAAATTGATGAACCATTTTAATTACTTCAGCCGAAGTCTCAAGTTTTCACTGGATTGAACTGAAACGCTTATACGAGTTACTAGAATTTACCTGATAAGTATAATAATAATAATAAAATAATAATTATTATTATTATTACACATTAGACATGTATTAAGCATGTATAGGGTTCGTCAACAAACAATTTACAGTATGTATATACATAAATAAATAAACAAGCAACAACAAACAATAGCTTAAATTAGATATTTTAAAATGGACACCATAGGCAAACAACAGCAGATAAAATAGATTAGCTTTCCAGTATTTAAAATTAATAAATTAACAGAAATACAATAAAAAAATATATAAAACAATAAGTGGATAACAAGCAATACAAAAAAAATAACATCTAAATATCCACAGAGTCCCTGTTGGCGTAACAGTAGGTTCTTAACTCAGCTTTAAAATTATTTAAGGAGCTAATTGTCTTAATATACTCAGGCAGCTTATTGAATACCTTTGGTCCTAAAAGAGAGGGAGATCTACTACCCAGCTTACATCGAGCAAAGGGTAGATGAATGTCATGTAGTCATTTCGTTGATTTTAATGTTATGCTTATGTTGCCAGTTTTTGTTGTTCGTTACCCCTAATGTGTTTAATTTTTCCAATTAAATTAGTAATAATTTTGCAAGTTAGACAATAGAACGGTTTTTATTTTTTTACTCAAAAATGACGCATCGATTGAAAACACTTCAAGAGAGATCATTTGTTTTAAATTGAACGGGGAATTTCCGCGTGACATCGACTTCTGGGATACTCTGTATACTGCCGCCAACAAAATACCTTCCCCTATCCCGTAAAACTCCCAATTCCTACAAGAAATTTTCTGAAAAAGTCAGCATTTGAAACGTCAAAAAACCAAGTTTAGGCGGTTTCCGTTTTTTTCGTGTTTTGACCATAGCTTCGCCGTCACTAGATCGGTTTTCAAAGACTAAAGATTTTTCCGTCCTTTGTATAGTTAGTAACCCTGTGTGCGAGTCCAAGTAGTACTTTCCAAGTTATTGGCGGTCCAAATACTGCCGGACAGACCGATAGATAGACAGACGCAAATGGAATTCAAAGATAATTTTTATTTGGCAAAAAACCGTTGGCGTACCTTTTTTTCTTAAAAAATATCGAAGTCAACGCCCGTACGCACGCCACTGTTGTAGCTAAACATTATTTTTGCATTGAAAAATATGCAATTTTATCAACTTTCGCTACGTACTAAATATCAGTGAAATGCCTGAAGCGGTTCTGAAAATATCAATTACTTTCCATTTTTTTCCTAAAACTTCCCCTTGGAAACATTTTTGGACCATACTTTATGAAGCAAACTAACATTAATTTTACATGTATATGCACTCCCTTAAATATTCGCATATCATTAAGGAACACCTTGTATAGTACAAACATTTACCTTGTTCAGTGACTGATTGTACTTTTAGTTATAACAAACGCAAACTTTTTTGGTTGTCTTGTGTTTCTTTTGAACGATACTTAGGATTTACCTGTACTTTATGACGATAAACATTATATTCAATAATATTAACCATTTCGTAAAGTATCAACGGGCTTAGTTGATCGTATCAATAAACGACTTGAAGTTGAACAGGTGAACGCACATCACAATCCGGCCAATGGATAAAAATACATTTCATGAGATACTCGATCGTTTCATGAAATGGGCAAGTTTAACGATATGGTCACAAGATACATAAAACATACATCAGTGGCACATGTATAGATCACTGCTTTGTGAAAGATCTATCCAACAAAATTACTTGTATACCAATAATCCTAGAAAGCGATATTACTGACCACTTCTCCACTATTTTACTGATATCTTCAAATGAAAAACATTCTAACATCCCTACCGTTAGTAACAACCAGGAAAATTACAAAATTTTTGTCAACAATTCAAAACTAATATCAAATGTCAAACAAGAATCCTGGGAACAATTATACTCTATAAATAATATAGACAAAGCAACGGGACTGTTCATAGAGAAAATAAAAAAACTAATAGATATTAGTACCAATAAAGTAATAATTAGTCACAAAGAGAAAAGCAGAAATGCCTGGATTACCAAAGGATTAATAACATCGGCAATAGAAAAAGAAAGACTATATAATGTAATGAAACTAACGCCAACTACAGAGAATACTGACTGCTACAACCAATATAAAAATAAATTTATAGAGCTTGTAAGGCAAACCAAACGAAAACATTACCTAAATAAATTGAATAATAACTTAAATGATCCTAAGCGGCTTTGGACAACTATTGATGAGATTACTGGGAAAACAAAAGTTATAGAGTGTGTCACGGAGTTAAATACAACATCGGGAACAGTATTAAAAAATACTCAACAGATATGCGATGAATTTGTACAATTCTTTACTGACATAGGCGAAAATTTAGCAAGTAATATACAAGCAAATGTACAAAATACTCAGCCTCAAAAAGAACTTTGAACTCATTTATTTTGGATAAAGTCGAGCAATGTGAAGTATACACCACTGTTATGTCCTTAAAAAATCAGAAAAGTCCTGGGTTCGATGGTATTAAAAGCGAGCATTTGAAAATTATAGCCGAGGACATAACAGAACCACTCACTTACCTAATCAACAAATGCTTTGAATCTGGCATATATCCCTCAATTTAAAAAAAAGGTAATTTAATACCGATACATAAATCAGGAACAAAATCAGATGTTAACAACTGTGGACCAATATCAATAATATCCAGTGTAGCAAAGGTTTTTGAAAAAGTTTTATCTACTAGAATGATTCGATACCTCACAAAATTCAAAATTTTAAGTGAAAATCAATATGGAGTTACAGAAGGGAAGGCTATATCGGACGCAATAACTAAAATTGTAAATCAAATACATCAAAATATTGATAACAGAATCCCTTCAATCTGCATTTTTGTTAATTTAAAGAAAGCTTTCGACACAGTTAATCACAAATTATTATTAGAAGCATTGGAGAGAATTGGTTTCAGAGGAAACGCGTACTCACTGATCGAAAGTTATTTGTCAAATCGCCCACAATCTGTGCAGATATCAGGATCATTTAGTAAAGAAATGTATATTAAGTGTGGTGTCCCACAAGGAACTGTCTTAGGTCCGCTGTTATTCAATATATATTTAAATGATATTTTCCAAATTAATTGTGTTGGCAAAATAACTAGTTTTGCAGATGATACTGCAATATTATATGAAGGCACTGACTGGTCTGATCTGAAAAATGTTATTGAAAATGATTTTATCAAAATTATTCGGTGGTTTAACAGTAGAAAATTAAGCATTAACTACTCTAAAACACATTTTTTACCATTTGGATCTTATGCTAGACATCTGCCAAATTACACAAATTTCTCCTTCAATATTAATGATCAAAAAATGCAAATTAATAGAGTGCCCAACATAAAATACCTTGGAGTGGTCTTGGATCCTCACTTGCGATGGGACATCCATGTCAATTATATTTTAAAGAAAGTTAGATTTGTATCCTACAAAATTAAATACCTTGGGAATATATTGACAGAAAAATATCTTCGAACATTATACCATGCACTGATTGAGCCTCATCTCACATATGGTATATTAGCTGGGGAGCTGCATGTTCCTCACATATCTATAATTTAGATGTTTTTCAAAAAAGTATTCTAAAAATGATATTTAAAAAACCGAAACTTTACCCCACTGAAAAATTATACGCAGATGTTCGAATGTATGATATAAGACAGCTTTATTTCTTACACAGTATCACTCACTACCATAAATTTGTAAACACCGACCAAAAAATTAAACATAATCATTATACCAGGTACAAAATTCGTGGCACAGTAGTTATTCAACCGCATAAATCTATAATGCAGCGATCATACCTCTATTTAGCGCCTAAATTTTATGAAATTATACCTAAAGACTTAAAAGATTTACGTTTCGGAAATTGTTTCAAAAGAAATTTAAAAAATGGCTACATTCTATATCTAGGACTGAAATTCATAAACTCATAAATACGAACATCAACTAAATACATAATCTACTGTAGCTTATTTTTGTCCTTTTTTGTCATTTGCATTCTACAGTTTCAACTTAAGTTATTGGTCCATGTACAGGCGATGCCTTCTATTGGGCCTGTTTTGATTTTATATTTATTTACTCATATTGTTTGTTATCTTTGTACATTGAGTGAATAAAAAAAAAATATTACTATTATTATTTAACATACAGAACACGTAGACTCTTCTTCCGTTATTCCTACATTAACAATGCACTTGACTTCACTATAACAATCAGCGTCGATATCTTCAAACTCTACATTCAAGAAATGATTTCCATGATGCTTGGTTTTGCTACACGTTCCAACGATGCAATGTGAACAATGCTTGTCTATGTCATAATGACTTATCCGAGATCCCCGTTTCGTGGCTGAAGATGAACTCAGACGTACAGTATAGTGCATTTTATGCAGGTGCCGATCAGAATTTGGTAGCGAAACCACACCGAAGCTAAGCTTATGCATAGGCCATGCGATGACTGTAGTTTTGATGAAGACCAAATACTGCCTGGCCCTGCTCGAAAGATGGTGCACTGCCAGTTCAGGTTCCTCCGTTGCTCGATTATAGAGCGGCAAAGGTATATCGCACTGACCGTCATGAAGAGAAGACTGATGTTTCTTTTCAAAGTGATGTAAGACGTTGGTATTATTGAAAACGAAGAGAGCTGAATAACCCAAAACAGGACATTTTCTGAGTCCAAATAGGCAGGAATCCTCGTGATCTTTCACTGCACCCCATCCTAGGGTAGCTCTGCAATCTTTATTACTGCAGGGGAATAAGATGTATTTGGCGATTTCTTCATAAGGACCAAGTGATTCTTCGTTAGGGCGACATCTACCGCAAGTATATTCGCCTGAAACAATTGTTATACTGTGAAGATGCCTTGCAGCATAAGGGGGAGGGCGTAATCGACCTGTTCACCGTTTGAAATCTCACCCAGCTAGGCTGGTTGAGAATAAAAACGCGTGCTCGTTACCTTTTTTCGATGTACTTAGCTGCTTTATATACTAAGTGACATATAAATCCGAACACCCAGTTTAAATGGTTTTATTTTAATAAAATTTTGTATAAGTACTTAATGAAGCATAATAAGTAAATGATAAAAATTTCAAAATGATTGCACTGCTTTAAAGCCCTTTGACCTTTAATAATGTGTGGATGCTCCCTGATGTGCTACGCATTCTCCAACGTGCCTAGGCATGCTTCTGATCAGGTGGTCAATGTCCTGCTGTGGTATCTCATTCCAGGCAACCACCAACTCCTCTCGAAGTGCTTCTAGAGTCTGAGGAGGACGTTGCAAATTGAGCAATCTCCTACCCATCATATCCCACACGTGCTCAATTGGGGATAAGTCGGGAGATCTTGGTGGCAATGGTAACAATGTGACATCATTATGTTGAAAGAAGTCTATTGTGACTCTTGCAACATGTGGTCGGGCATTAGCTTGTTGGAAAGCTGGATCTGCCAGGGTGTCAAGATGGGGTTCTAGAACTTCGTGGATATAATGCTGCGCGTTCATGTTACTTCTGATGAAGATTAAAGGTGACCTGGAACCATAAGCTATAGCACCCCAAACCATAACTCCAACAGTGTGATGAACATGTCTTTCAACAAAAAACTGGAGATTCCTCCTTTCACCACGTCGCCTTCTAACTCTGGTACGACCATCCTGCATGCCTAAACAAAATCGAGACTCGTCACTAAAGACAATACTGTTCCATTCCTGATCCCAGAGTGACCGTTGTCTGCACCACTCAAGGCGATTACGTCGGTATTCTCGAGTTAAAGGGAGGACCCAGTGTGGCCGGTATGAAAACAAGCCAAAACTTCTCATTCGTCGGTAAACACTTCACATGCCAATAGGTCTTCCGTGTTCTGCAAACCGTTCAATTGCAATGGACCTGGTAGTGGAGAAACGGTCCCTTAAGGCCAATAATCTTAGGCGGCGATCTTCTTTGCACTCTAACTGCAATTGCCCGAAAAGAAAGTCCAGCTTCCCAAAGTCCCACTATACGGCCCCTATCAAACTCACTAAGTTGACGAAATCGTACAGGTCTCCGTACTCTAGGCATCGTAACCGATCGTAAAGGATGTCATTAACCAAAATCCGTCAACGTTGATTCTTTACTGCGGCTGAAATATTCATTTTTAGAGCGTTAGTGAATTAAAAAAAAAGCAGTATAAAAACCGGAATGTCCAACTGATAAGGCTGAAAATTTTTTCACTTGTTATTTACATTAAGATAAATACATTCACCAACTTTTATTAAAATAAAACCATTTAAACTGGGTGGGATTTATATGTCACTCAGTATAGTAAATTATCAACAAGCATTTTCCAAAGAAGGAAGTGGGAAACATTAAGTGTTACCGCAGTTTTCCTAGTACCGCTTTCTGGATATTCCTCAATTGTGTTTAAAACAGCTTTCTCTAATTCTGGTATTCTCACCGTGCGACGTGCCCCTTTGGTAATATTGTCAATACTACGACTCCCAGCTGCATGTGGATTCTAGAAAACTTTCTGGCATCGGGAATGGTACGATTTGATACCGCTCTTGATATATCCGACTAGACATAAGCGCATTCTCATAAATAAAGACGATTTATTATTGTTATTATTCTCGTCAGCAAGTCCGTAGGTAAAAAGCGTATCTCTCGGAATTTGCAAGTATGGGCATAGTTTACTTATTTTCTCGTTACTATTGATTCGAGAAAATTTGACAATTGACGTTTATGAATACTTGTCAAAATAGGACCGCAACGTAATCGATCAAATGTCTATTATGAAAACAAAATAGGGCACCAGCCTACTAGCTCAAATTTCGTTATACCACAGATGCATGTAAATTGTTTTTATTTTTTTACGCGAAAACGGTCTATCGGACTGAAAACATTTGTTACAAAAAAAGAGGGTTTTTAAAATGATTTTGATTTTCGGAAACATCAACAACGAACCATATTTCTTTTAAATTTCCAGTATACATCCCTGGTAGAAATATTAAAAAATATTCTACATCAAAAAATGCCTATTGGTGCTTAAAAGGTGCACGTCAAATTTCATGAAAATATCTAGAATAGTATTAAAATTATAGGAAAACGAATTTTTTCTTAAAATTTTAACACCATGTAATGAGCTGAGAAATCATATCCTGTATTATAGCCGTCAATCATACGGCTTGATTCGGCCAGAAAGTCCTATGAACATGAAAACCACAGGATAAATTCCAGGAGGTGCATTAATGTGAATAGTGTCTCACCTTTCGGGCCACTGACAGGAGGTACAGATAGGTATCTTTTACATATAGAGCATTTCAGATTTTCCATCGCACATGGAGGGATTGTAGCTGTTTGGCTCATTTTGCTTGTATATTTATGGGCTGTCGCTTTACAACTGTTCATATAGACGGTAAACCAGTGAATGCATCACAAACTCTCTATCTTCGATATCGATCAGTGCAGTTATCTTATCTTCTATGCATATTGCAGCATCGATGATACAAAATCAGAACAATCGCATTCAGTAGATTTACTCATAATGACTTTAACGGTAATTGGCATATGCTTAGCAATAAAAAAAATGTCGTCAAGCAGATTGACTGTATACTTCGTATGCCTTCGTTGGAGATTTCAAACAAAAGGGATGAGTTAAATCGTTTCAACAAGCGAAATTGAATCGTGATAAGGTAGGTTCACTCGGTTACGATGAATCTTCGACCTCCGCATATCTCAAAGGAGATTATGTTGAAGAATAAATACATTTTTTTACAAAAATTTTGTGTTTTCTTCGTTGGGTCGGGTACTTCTGGGACCCTCCTCGTAGGAAACTGGGCAAATGGTACTGAAGAAGTAGGGGCGTTTATGGCCTCCTTGATTGTCATACTCATTTCTCTCCTTCAAAAATTTCTAGATTACACTTGTCCCCTGTCAGCGTCAGCGCTCTCCTATTGTGAAGATATGTTTTCTTTTTAAATTGTAGGAAATTTCAGGCTGATAAAACATGATATAACTCAAAAGCTAGCACAATTTGATGCAAATAGATGTTTGTGACATAACCTCAAAATAGAGTTCTGACACGGAGAAGCAGGAGGCCACAAAGGCGCCCTATAATTGTAGGGACGACTGACGATACGGGCCTTAGTAATGAAACAGCTCTCAAATGAACATTTTATTGATAGATAATACAGCTGACATCTTATGTAGGAACTGTTGTCTTTGAGTCTGTAGCAGTATTCACTTGAAATGAACAGTTCGCTTCATGCTGTATTGTTTCCCCCACAGAGCCTACAAACGCGCATCCGATAATATCATTGTGGCAAGGTCTCTGCAATCTCTTCCAATGTATAGTTTCTGGTTGAACCCATAGCACATTTGCACAGCGGGCATGTTGTAATCATTGCCTTACATTTGCCGCAAAGAGAATGCCCTGTGGGGCATATGAAGATTGTCTTGATCATGTAGTTCTTACATACCGGACATTCTAGACTTTCTGCCAATGATGTAGACTTTTCCACTTTGACAATACATTTGATGTCGCTGTAGTAGCAATTTGCATCTATGCCCTCAAATGTCACGTTCAAAAAATATTCTCCTTGGTGTCAAGATTTGTTGCATTTCCCAATAAAGCAAGGTAGACAATGCTTATCGATATCATATTGGGATATGACCTTTCCAATCTTCTTTATGACCGCGTTGCCAGCAGCAGATTTTAGATATAAGTTAACAGCGTATTGCATGTCACTGAAACTGTCATTATCTGAGTTTGGAAGCGCAACTAGTGCAAAACTGAATGTATGCATAGGCCAATTAGTAGCTGTCTTCACGAAAACTAAGAAAACTGTTTGACTGTAACAATAACAATGTACCGACAAGTGTCTAGCTGCCTGATTGAAATTTAAGGTTATGTTACAATGACGGTTGTGTACATATGATTTGTGGACTTCATTAAAGTGATTTAGGAGACGACTGAAGAATAGGCGAACATAACAAGTTGGAAAGGGGCACGTTGTTTTACGAAATTGACAGGCATATTCATGAGGCAACGCTTCTCCCCATTTCAGTCTTAACTTGCAATCTTCATTGCTACAAGGGAACTTAATGAGCTTAGCTATTTCTTCATAAGGTCCACTTGATTCCGCATTAGGGCAACATCTACCACAGGTGTACTTTCCTAAAACAAAAAATCCTTTAGTTTCATGTTGAGAAAAATCTCTTAATCAGGGTCAGAAAGCAAGAAACAGCAATAGCATAGACAAAAATTTCCCGCTCATTACTCAGACTAAAGAGGATGGATGGAGAGGTTGTCTTTCCGACTCATAGTCTTATGTCTTTTACACACATTCTGACTAGATCAAAGAAGCTGAAATAAATGTGGATGATAAGAGACTGGGCAAGAACTATGCGCTAGGATTCTAGCTATGAGTATATGGTGTCCAAGCTCTTCTCCAGCGGCATGACACCGCCTTCCAGAGAAAGATATTCGGGATTACGAGGTTTCACTGACAAGAAGCCTGTGAACCAGACTGGTCTGGAGCGAATTTACATGCCGTCAGGAGACTTGTAAAAATTTCATAGCTTTCAGTTATGTTGTCAAAACTCACTCCACTCTCGGAATGTCCGGGTAGAGGGTGGACTCGAGGAAACAACTTCAGATAAAATTTGTTTCACGAACATCTGCTGGATTAACAGCAACATTGATGCTGTCCATCACTACTTGCAATCCAATCGTCCCGCCAAGCTTTTCTTGACGGAGAATATTTCAGCCGCAGTAAAGAATCAACGTTGGCGTATTTTGGTTCTTGACATTCTTTACGATCGGTTACGATGCCTAGAGTACGGAGACCTGTACGATTCGTCAGCTTAGTGAGTTTGATAGGGGCCGTATAGTGGGACTTCGGGAAGCTGGACTTTCTTTTCGGGCAATTGCAGTTAGAGTGCAAAGAAGTGTACACACTGTGGTTAGGTGTTGTCAGGCATGGCTTCGAGAAGTCCGTACGCAAAGAGCAAGGGGCACTGGACGCCGCCGTAGAACAACAGACCGTGAAGATCGCCGCCTGAGATTATTGGCCTTAAGGGACCGTTTCTCCACTACCAGGTCCGTTGCAAATGAATGGTTTGCAGAACACGGAAGACCTGTTGGCATGCGAAGTGTTTACCGACGAATGAGAAGTTTTGGCTTGTTTTCATACCGGCCACACTGGGTCCTCCCTTTAACTCGAGAACACCGCCTTGAGTGGTGCAGACAACGGTCACTCTGGGATCAGGAATGGAACAGTATTGCCTTTAGTGACGAGTCTCGATTTTGTTTAGACATGCACGATGGTCGTGCCAGGGTTAGAAGGCGACGTGGTGAAAGGAGGAAACCACAGTTTTTTGTAGAAAGACATGTTCATCACACTGTTGGAGTTACGGTTTGGGGTGCTATAGCTTATGGTTCCAGGTCACCTTTAATCTTCATCAGATGTAACATGAACGCGCAGTGTTATATCCACGAAGTTCTAGAACCCCATCTTTTACCCTATCTTGACACCCTGGCAGATACAACTTTCCAACAAGATAATGCCCGACCACATGTTGCAAGAGTCACAATAGACTTCTTTCAACATAATGATGTCACATTGTTACCATGGCCACCAAGATCTTCCGACTTATACCCAATTGAGCACGTGTGGGATATGATGGGTAGGAGATTGCTCAATTTGCAACGTCCTCCTCAGACTCTAGAAGCATTTCGAGAGGAGTTGGTGGTTGCCTGGAATGAGATACCACAGGAGGACATTGACCACCTGATCAAAAGCATGCCTAGGCGCGTTGGAGAATGCGTAGCACATCAGGGTGCGTCCATACATTATTAAAGGTCAAAGGGCTTTAAAGCAGTGCAATCATTTTGAAATTTTTATCATTTACTTATTATGCTGCATTAAGTACTTATACAAAATTTTATTAAAATAAAACCATTTAAACTGGGTGTTCGGATTTATATGTCACTTAGTATATTAAACCCAAAACGTTCTTGATGTCTGGATACTTTTTTACCCCGCAGATTTTCTTGTTCCCAGTAATGATTGTTGCGGCGACTAAAGATGCTCTTGTCAAACTATATTATCTTTGAAGAAAAAATAAAAAATTCACACGTTCGTATGTACCATTCTCATAAAAGGGTGACGTCGGTCGCTGTCTCCTAGTTTGGGAAATTCTTAATTGATAAAAATGATATCTATTGATACGCAAAATAAATTTTGCTGTGAATTTTGCTACTCCTTCCTTTTTGCTCATTTTGCATAGTTAATATCTCAGCATCTGCTTGTAAAACACTATTCTTTGTTTCCTCTAAAGATTCCTTCCTTCTAGACTTCTTGAACGAACCATATTCATTTAAATCTAATAAAATAGACTTACTTGGCTGCTTTTATCAATACACATTTCTGCAGTATTATATTCTTTGTGGCACAAAATGTAGCACGTCAGCACATTGAACTTTTCTTTATTGCTAAAATGACCGCCTGGCATATTTGACGATAATAAAACAATATTAACAGTACACAATAATACAAATACTCGATGACTATCCATAACTGCTACACCGCAACTGTAATATATGACTCACCTTTTGGACCACTAACTGGTGCTACAGACAAATATCGACCACATTTAGAGCACCTCAATTTTTCTATCACAAATCGTGGTAGGTGTATACTCGGTTTCTCAGCCATTCCACCCCTGATTTTTCCCGTCATTTGCTAATTCTTCTTCCTAGGTGCACAAGTCGGTAGTGAATAATTACTGAGTCAATGACCTTATCAAACTTACATCCATGTTATCAAACAATGAATTTTCCCGGGATTGAAAAATTCGATATATCAATATAATATGAATATGTATTTCCCAGATAATGCTGATATGCTACTGGGAGATTAGAAAGAGAATAATGGTTAACTACAGTGGACCCCCGAAAATCCGGCCCCTGTCTAATCCGGCGCCCCCTGTAATCCGACATGTGTTTGAATATTTATTACATACATACGTATTTAACAATCTTCGCTAATGTAGATCATGCAGGTTTGAACAAGTTACAACTTTCTAACGATGCCACCTGCATAGAGCCCTTTAAATTAAGATTTTTGCAAAAAGTAAACGGTTTAAATCTTGACCCGTCACAGGTGTACAACGCAGACGAATGAGGGCTTTTTTGGCGTGTGATGTCTAACAAAACTTTCGTTTCTGGTAACGTAAAATCCGTACCTGGACGAAAAGTAAGTAAAGAGCATGTAACCATACTACCATGTGCTAACGCTGCGGGCACACAGGCGCTTAAGATGATGGTCATTGGGAAATAAACGACGGGCATTGAAAAACATTTTTTTAGCTGTACGGACAAAAAAGTGCATGGATGACAAAAGACCTTTTCAAAAAGTGGTGTGACGAATGCTTCGTACCTGAAGTTATAAAATGGTTAAAAGATCATATTTTTCCTCAAAAAGCGTTGTTGCTTCTTGATAACGCTCCCGGTCATCCGTCTGAAGAAGAACTAACACCTGAGGAAAAATGTATCACTGCGATGTTTCTTCTGCCAAATTTCACTGCACTGATTCAACCAATAGACCAGAATATCATTCAGTTTGTCAAGCAAGACTATAAGAAAAACCTACTTCTGAGAGCCGTATCAAAAGACCAACCAATAGAAAAAACTTTAAAAGAATTTAATGTGAAATACTTGGTTTTTGCTCTTTGTCAGTCGTGGAATGCGTTACCGTCATCAACTATTAAATCGTGTTGGAAAAAGTTATGGCCAAATATAGTCACCTCTCCTAGCAACGTTCCACAAATCAGTGTTACTTCGGAAGTTATAGAACAAGTCGCTACTGAAACACAGATAAGTCCGGAAGATCTGGAAATCTGGTACCGTGGAATGGATAAAGAGGAAAATGTTTTTCATGAAATGTTTGACGAAGAGATTATAAAACAGGTTTCTAATTTTACAACAAACAAACAGGAAAATAACAACGACGTGATTGCAACTGCTCCACAAGTCACAGCACAAGACGCAATTAACGCCTTTGAGCTAGGTTTACAATGGGCTGAAGAGAATGGTATATCCTACAACGAACTTTTACTTTTGAGAAGACTGAGGGACAAAGCTCTGATCTCGCGTTATCACAACCTTAAACAAAAAAAAATTGATGAATATTTCCAAGCTTCATAATTTGATAAACTCATTAATGATTTTGATCAATAATTCTTGATTATTTTGGTACATATGTATGTGCATTTATGCTTAATTTTATAATAAAACGTAAGCTCTGTATTGTTATTTAATTTACTAAATTCGACATACATAAACTATGTATGATTTGTACTTCAAGGTACATACATATACATAACATATATGTATACATAATCTTACCACTGGATATGTAATTTGTCGGATTACAAGGTACTATTTTGTAAAAAATTCCGGACTATAGGGGGTCTTAGGCAGTGCTCTATAATCCGACAAATTCGATAGTCCGACACTGCCCTGCATAATGTTTGTCGGATTACCGGTGTCGTTGAGACCATCACCATTACTTGCTTTTTGGTATGAACCAACACAAGTAAAATGTGATAAGTTATGATTCAATTATCTCAGAGTTTAGCTGACTTAAAATATTTTCACGAATGGTCGCTTCATACTTATCAACCTTTGACGTTTCGTTCTATTGAAACTTGCAACGATAAAAAATATCATATATCATAGAAAACCCCTAATATAAAGCTCACTGCAACAATTTTATTTTATCTATAAATTATTTTATCAGTAAAAAAGGGCCAAGCGTTACTCGAAGCGGAGAGTAATTCACGTCGGCATCATTTATGTGTCACTGCTAATTGATTCGTCTAACATCTTTAATCGTCTATTCACCAGTGGCACTGAAAAGAATACAAACCTCCAGCTGATCCTTCTGACTGGATCTGGGCTTCTGAACCAGATCATGTAGATATTATCACCCCTTGACACTATTCCAGAAACATTTCAGCAGAAGCATCTGCTTAGACTGATTTTAATTTGTACGAATGATTTCACTATGAAAGTGTGTTTTATGGCAAATGTTCGATGCCAGAAATGACTAGCATCATAATTTATTGTAATTGGTTTTTCGAGTTTAAATTGGGAATCTGAAGCTTTGTCCTGTTTAAGGCGACTCCGACGCCGTGAGTTTCAAGCCATTTACAAGGGTGCAGCTGCCTCGAAACTGACATACTATTTTTCAATATTTTTGGTTGAAATTCATATACTTTGTTCAGAAGATAATTGCCCAGGGTGCTATCGGAGCACTTTAAATATTGTTTTTGCACAAGATTTATGGTGGGTTAATGTGCTTACTTTTCTTGTTGAACTTCGCGGTTTTTTTAAGAGCCTAGTGGAAAAAATTAAAAAGTGGCTCTAGAGCGACCTGAAGAGTTTTGTTTTAAAAGCACTGTAAAAATTTCATTCGAAAACATAAAAAAATGAAGCATCAGTTTGAAAGCGCGCAACCCTCTACAAACCGGATTTTGCACGAATTTAGTCTACTGTTTCGTGATGGCAGCCCAAGCGACGGACACGGCTGTACTTACGGACTAAGAAAGAACGTATTCAGGTAATTTGGTGGCCCTATTTCATATAATATCGTGTATATATTACGGTTAAAGTACATACTTAGCTAGCTGAATAGTATAGAAACTATCCATATCTCTGGTTACTTTGATGGAAAACTAACTTTTCACTAAAATAGCTACGAACACTGGTTGGTTAAATATACAAAATGTATCGCCAAAGTACAAACCACTAGAAAGTTATATAGATTAACCAGAATTTGTGGCTAGTTCACAAACTATCCACAGTCGTTGGATAAAGTGCGTACTTAATATCACTTGCAAATGTTCACCACGACTGGATTTACAGACATCCACGCGATGGTCGAAATTTTCAATGACATTTTGCAACATGGTCGGTTCTATGGCATTTATCTCGGCAATGATGTTGTTTTTGAGTTCTTGGAGGGTGGCTGGTTTGTTGACGTAGACTTTGCTTTTCAAATATCCCCATAAAAGGAAGTCCAAGGGAGTCAACTCGCACGATCTTGGTGGCCATGGCACATTTCCTCTGCGCGAAATCACGCGATCACCGAAGAAGGACTGCAATCGATGGATATTGACGTTGGATGTATGGCACGTTGCACAGTCTTGTTGGAAATAAACATCGTCCATATCCATTCCTTCAAGTTGCGACAAAAAATAGTCCTCTATCATCACGTGATATTGCTCAGAATTGACGGTAACGGCGTCCTCGGCCGCATTTTCGAAAAAGTAAGGTCCGATGATGCCTTTTGACCACAATGCACACCACACAGTCACTTTTTGAGGATGCATCGGTTGCTCTTGATACTCACTCTTGCGTCAATTGGATCTTGTAGGCGTGTACATTCAAATCCTTGTGGAGAATGCGGAGCAAACTGGTTCTCGAAATGCCCAATTCTTGGGATCGACGCGTTGTTGATTGTTTCGGATCGTCTCTCACACTCTCCTTCACAACAGCAATATTTTCCGGTGTGCGAACGCTCCTTGGCCGGCCAGAGCCTGGCAGATTTGCCACAGAACCTGTCGCCTCGATTTACGCACCAGACGACCGATGGCTGTTTCGTTTGGGCGGTTGTTGCGACCGAAATGTTCACGAAGCGCGCGAAACGTGTTATTTACTTTTGCACCATTTTTGTAGTGCTCTTGAATAACTTTAATGCGGTCTTCAATCGAATACGACTCCATAGCGATCAATGGTAAACATTCAACTAACAAAATGATATGTCGGTGACAGAAAACAAAGATGGCGTCTATGTCAAATTGACGATTACTTTCCTGCGTCTCCATTGGACAACCCTTTATAATACTCGATCAAAAATATATTTTATTTTCAGGTACAACGTAGGTAACATTTCTAGTACTGCTCAAAAATAAGTAAAAAAAAGAAAATTATTATTTATTGTTCAGTATAATCACTAGCATTCCTTAATTTTGAATTCTGTGACTTTTGGTCAAAAATTTCCAAAAGTAGATTTTCAAATTCTTGCTGTTGATTCATTTTCAATAACTAAATGCTTATTTAGGAACGAATTTCATAAGATACGATACTAAGCAATAACAAATACTTGCTAACTGACATAACCTCACTTTTCCAATAAATTAACCAGAGGATTGGTTAGTTTGCATGCTAACCAACGAATTGGTTATTATTATATTACTAGGAATGCTGAGCTCACACTTTATCTACCTACTGTGGATAGTTTATGAACTAGCCAAAAATTCTGGTTAATTTATATAAGATTGTTAAGGTTTGTACTTTAGCGATAAACCTTGTATATTCTATATACTAACTGGATAGTATACAAAACAACCAATGTTCGCAGCTATTTTAGTGAAAAGTAGCCCGAGATATGGATAGTTTGTATACTATTCTGCTAGTCTATACACTAGCTAAGTAAGTACTTTAACCTTAACATATATATTAATGAATGAATATGTTTTGAAATATGGCATACTATCAGGTAGACAATGCGGTTTTAGGAGGGGATGTTATACAATTGCAGCAGATTAAACCGACAATATTGTCAGGAATTGGGATAACCATCAAACAATTTCCTCGATTCTTTTAGATTTTACTAAAACGTTTGACACCAACACCGTTCTCTTTCACCAGCCAAATGTAAATTTTATGGTTTAAGAAATAGATCACAAAGAGTTGTCACCGATATTAACACTTCTCCTGGTGCTCTAGTATAATCGAGGGTGCCTCAAGGATCGGTCCATGGACCACTTCTTTTCATTTTGTATATCTCCGATCTTGGTTAGGTGCCATATTCAGTCTTAAACTTTGCCCAGTAAAGGCGTTTTAATATTATGTATTATTATTGTATAATTTTTCATAAAGCTATTTCCTAAGTAGGTCTTGAAACTATCAAATAGTCGTTTGTCATAATATGTTTCAGTTTTCTTGAACAGTCCCTAAAAAATTCTAATGACTAACAGAGTAATATTCTCATAGTTGGTTTGAACTCATAGAATAAAGAAAAACATAATACATAAACGTTTCCCTATTATCTAAGGGTAGTATCGAAGACATTGAAAATGATTAAATGAAAACCTTGAGTATGCAGCAGCTTCTTAAACACAATTTGTATATGCCATATCTAACCCGATTCACACATCTTCCATTCAAGTACTATTAATCTGCGGCTGAGGTGTCATTAGAGTCCGCGTTTTACTCGAAAAATGGGCAAGTTATCTGAACGCCCTTTTAGCACTCAATGTAATTTTGAAATCAAGATTAATAACTTTATCCACCTGTGCAGAAGTTCAAAATGATATTGATAATCTCAATGTCTCTTTGACTAAAGGCGAGACTATAAAACCTCCGTAGTATCTCCGTATTAACCCGATTTTATCAAATATCTACATCTCAGAATATTCTGAATGTCACAATACTGCAAGTATAAAGTGGCAGGCAAACAATTGCACCCATTTGAAGTGACTAGTTTGAAGTGATAATGCAGTAACACTGACACTCCTTTATGCAAGCACAGCAACCAAGGACAGTGAGTCAGGTTTGGTTTGTCATTCTACACCATTCGCTATGTCTACTAATACTCAAGTGAAGGTCAATGAACGATAAAAAAACTATTTATCAACGGTGCTTATCACCGGGCAGTAACGGGTACGATGCATATGAGGATACAGCCCTGAGTTGGTCTAAGCAGCAGTGTTGTTCTACTGCCTCCATTAAAAGCTATTATCCCGACTGCAGCGACACTCAAGGACAGCTACAGGATGCCTAACAACAGCAATACCTGTGTAAATATTGAAATATTTCTAAATATGAAATTTAATATTTTTTTTCTGAATAACTATTGCTTAGAATTGATGGACCCGAGAACTTAGCTACAATATCTTCTTCAGATACTTAAACTGAATCCAAATTCAAGATGAGATGTAAATAATAACAGCGCGTGATCTCTCGGTACCAGGTGGGGACAACGCCTCTTATTGGTCAATTCGCCATTAAATTTCAAGCGGTCGCCTGGCGGAATAATGCGCGGGGCAGGGGCAGGGCAGGCAGAGTTGCATTCAGGCCACCGACCGTCGCGTGTATCACTGCGTGCTCGTGTTTTCGTATTCACCTTGCTTGGTTGTTGCTGTTGTTGTTGTTAAATGTATTTGAGTAATTTGTTAAGTTTCTGTTTGTTATTGTTATTCCTCGTTATTATTTGTTTTGAACCAATCCTGAACATGTCCAGTACAGATACTGCTGACGAAGCTGTAGGCTACTTCCTTAGCCCTCCTAGAAAGCGATCAAAAAAAAGACATCTTAGCGTAGACATGAAAGACGTCATATTGAATACATTCAAGATAGAGCGGAAGGAAGACGAAACATCAACTAACCCGAAAATAGCTCTGACAGTGGCAGATAGAATTGGGGTATGCCGAGCGACAGTGTACAATGTTTTGAACGAACATAAGAAAAAGCATGCCTTTTCCAAGCCAATGACGGGTAAAAATCGCAAAAGTATCATAAGATCGTTGGATGACGTTGACAAGCATGCGATTCGGAGGAAAGTGCACGAGTTCTTCTTCAGAAATGAAATACCGACAGTTGATAAAGTACTACGGGAGGTTAACGAGGATGCTATGTTACCAAATTTCAAACGTTCGACTATTCATAAACTTTTGAAGCATCTTAATTTCGAATGGAAGAAACGAGGTCGTAACAGCTTACTTATGGATAGAGAAGATATTGTTCTGTGGAGGAGAGAGTACCTGACCAAAATTAAATCATTCAGGGATCAGCACAGGAAGATCTATTACCTGGACGAAACCTGGATTAACGCTGGGCACACTACTCCGAAGGTATGGGTTGACAAAACTGTGACTTCATCCAGAAGTGCATTTCTAGATGGACTGTCGATCGGATTGAAAAATCCAGCAGGTAAATAGATCGAAGTAGTTCACGGTATCAATTTTTGCGCACAATATCTCTCTATCTTCGTACCTACAAGACGTGCGGATGTACTTAGCGGATTTTATCTTTCTAGGCAAAGGACAAAGGCTCATTATTTGCCACATTGGGGGTGTAGATGGCTTCGTGGATGACGGCTTATGGTCTTTTGAGTAAAAAAAACCACTGACTACCATGAAGAGATGAATGGGGAAGCATTCGAGAAGTGGTTTTCAGGCATTTTACCACGTCTCGAAGACAATTCTGTGGTTGTTTTGGATAACGCTCCCTATCATTCTCGCAAAATAGAAAAAACCACAACTTCAGCTTCTAGGAAATCAGACATTCAGAGCTGGCTCCGTTCCAAAAATATAACTCTCAGCCCTTTCTTACTGAAATTACAACTATTAGATATTGTGAAATAACACAGACCAAGACATGATAAATATGTCATAGATGAAACGGCCAAAGCACACCGCAAAATGGTACTCCGTTTGCCGCCTTACCACTGTGAGCTCAACCCCATTGAGCTCATATGGGCAGATGTTAAGAATTTTGTTGCTGCACACAATACAACATTTAAATTTTCTGACATGCAAGAGCTGTTCAGAATTGCTATACAGAGGGTCACACCAGAAAGATGGCAAAAATGTGTGCAGCATGTTCAGGAGAAACTGGAGGCAGCAATGTGGGAGCTGGACAACATAATTGAGAGAGATTCATCATAAACATTAATGACGATAGCTCTTCAAGTGAGTCTGAGTAAGTTTTGCGTTTTTGTTTTGTCACAGAATACATATTATGGGAATCCTAGTTATAGTGAAATATTAACTTGCAGATAAACTACAGACAATGCAAGTCCGAAGTGCACCTTCAAAATCTATTTTAAATTGATTGAACAGCCTTATATTTATTCCATGTACAAAAGTGTCATCTCTACCCCTCGTTGACTACGGATTCATTGTGCATAGTGAGCAGCTGGTATGTATTTCTCCAAGTTGTCTAGTTCGAAAAATCTGTAGAAAAACTTAGCACCCCTTCAAGAATAAAAATTTGATTTTGCGACACTACTAACTACTTCACTATATTCGATAATTTCGTTAAATACTGTCAAGTTTGTTTTACAACACGTTGGTGGTAGTCCATCATTCGAACGTAGCCCTGAATGCGGCACTGTACGCCATCCTTGCTTTTGGCAATCACGCATCCATTCTATCTTGGGTGTAAATACACTATAGATAGCCTCATAACAGCATCCCTGTAGTTCTAGACTTTATGCCATATGCAGACTATCAAATTAATGTTGATTAGATAAGTAACTTCTGGCTTTAACTATCAGATTACTGCATAAGATTAGTTCTATACGTCTAAGTAATAAAACAGGGGTCAGAGCTCTCAAATGAACATTTTATTGATAGATAATACAGCTGACATCTTACATAGAAACTGCTGACTTTGAGTCTGTAGCAGTATTCACTTGAAATGAACAGTTCGCTTCATGCTGTATTGTTTCCGCCACAGAGCCTACAAACACGCATCCCATAAAATCGTTGTGGCAAGGTACCTCTAAGGTCTCTGCAACCTCTTCCAAAGTATAGTTTCTGGTTGAACCCATACCACATTTGCACAGCGGACATGTTGTAATCATTGCCTTACATTTACCGCAAAGGGAATGCCCTGTGGGGCATATGAAGATTGCGTTGATCATGTAGTTCTTACATACGGGACATTCTAGTCTTTCTGCCAATGATGTAGACTTGTCCACTTTAACGATACATTTGATATCGTTGTAGTAGTAGTTTGCATCTATGCCCTCAAATGTCACGTCCAAAAAGTTTTCTCCCTGATGCCAAGATTTGTTACATTTCCCAGTGATGCAAGGTAGACAATGCTTATCGATGTCATATTGGGGTACGACCTCTCCAATCTTCTTTATGACCGCGTTGCCAGCAGTCGAGTTTAAATATAGGTTAACGGCGTATTGCTTGTCACTGAGACTGACTCTATCTGAATTTGGCAGTGCAGCCAGTGCAAAACTGAATGTATGCATAGGCCAATTAGTAGCTGTTTTTACGAAAACCAAGAAAACTGTTTGACTGTAAGAATAACAATGTACCGACAAGTGTAGGGGTGCCTGACTGAAATTTAAGGTTATGTTACAATGACGGTTGTGTACATATGATTTATGGACTTCATTAAAGTGATTAAATAGACGACTGAAGAATAGTCGAACATAACAAGTTGGAAAGGGGCACGGTGTTTTACGAAATTGACAGACATATTCATGAGCCAACACTTCTCCCCATTTCAGTCGTGACTTGCAATCTTCATTGCTACAAGGGAATAAAATATGTTTAGCGATTTCTTCATAAGGTCCACTTGCTTCCACATTAGGGCGACATCTACCACATGTGTACTTTCCTAAAACAAAGAACGAATATACTTATTGATCTTCAACCGAGGACACAAAGCCAAAAACCGTCATTAGCACACAAATATATTGGGAAGCCAGGATAGCGGAGAAGGGAAAATATGATTTCCTAATTCTCTACATTTTAAAAAAAGTACAATAAAGTGGAGGTCGGAGCATTCATATATACTCCACCGGACAAGCGGTTTTGATAATAATGATAATACGTTGTTTATTGGTCGTAGGTAGGCAATATGGTTTGCACACGTAAAGTAGAGAAAAATGTTTAAAAATTACACTGGACAACAAATTTTATTTTTTTAATTGTATCTTGTGGGAAAAGTGCACTTCTTTGTTAATTTTGGGGCGCTGAATCCAAAAATGACAATGAAATAAAAAAACTAGTTGCGGTTTAGAAAAAAAATATTTATTTTTAAGGATATATTAAAAAAAGTAACAAGATACATATACTTATAAGAATCACTATATGCGCTGTCTTTTTGCTGTTCTTTTATGGATCGTTTCTGGAGCACCTCTACTAAGAGTCCAACAGTAGTCTGCAAGCATGGAAGGATTAGACTTTCCCTGGTACCTTTTTTCCATTGTTGAAATATCCTGATGAAAACGTTCGCCGTGCTCATCACTTACGGCTCCGCAATTGTCAGGAAAAAAGTCCAGGTGTGAATGTAGGAAATGTATCTTAAGAGACATATTACAGCCCATATTTTGATACGATGACAGCATATTTTTGACAATGGTTTTATAGTTGTCAGCTTTTCTATTTCCCAAGAAATTAGTGACCACCAGACGGAAATCATTCCAAGCAGTTTTTTCAATACCTGTTAAAGTGTTTTCAAACTGTGTATCTTTCAAAATATTTCGAATCTGTGGCCCAACAAAAATACCTTTGCCTCACTTAGTCTTGGAAATTTCTGACGCAGGTATTGAAAAGCTGACCCATCTCTATCTAATGCCTTGACAAAGTTTTTCATTAGGCCCAACTTGATATGCAGTGGTGGTAATAAAAATTTTTTCAAATCTACTAATGGCATATGCTGTACATTTTTTTGACCTGGCTCTAGGAATTGACGAACAGGCCAGTTTTGTCTGGTGTAATGAAGTGCCTTTGCCCGACTGTCCCATTCACACAAAAAACAGCAAAACTTTGTGTAGCCTAGCTGCAGCCCAAGTAAAAGTGCAACAACTTTCAAATCGCCACAAATATGCCATTGGTGCTCATCGTATTTTATGCATGTCAATAGGTACTTGATATTGTCATATGATTCTTTCATGTGAACTGTATACCCTACAGGAAGAGATGGTAAAATATTTCCAATATGCAATAACACTGCCTTTAAACTCAATGTTGAACTGTCTATAAACAATCTCTGGGTTATAGTTTATATTTAAAGCCGCCAGTAAGCCGTTAATTTTACTGCAGAAAACCAAGTTATTCTCCATATTGAAAAGTGGTTCTAAGTCTTTGTGGCGTTTACGAAAAACACATACCGAAACATCGTCTTGTAACAAGTTCCACTGCTGCAGTCTTGATCCGAGTAACTCTGCCTTACATGTTAGAAGTTCTAAATCTCTTACAAGATCATTTAATTCTGACTGTGTTATTTTGTGCGGTTGGTGGCATGACGTGCTCGGTATAAAATCAGGATCTCTTGACGTTGATGGCATATCTTCTTCCTGACGAATCACTTGATCGCCATGATCTGATTCGTTTTCTGATTCGCAAGTGTAGGATTCTGGGGGTTTTGGAATAGGATTTTCGTCACTGTGAGGCACAGGTCTCATCGCAGATGGTATGTTTGGGTAGTTAATAACCGATTTTTTTTTCTTGGACATACCTGTGGCTTGTCCAACACAAGGTACCATGCAAAAGTAACAATCATTAATATGATTTGTAGGCTCTCTCCAAACCATTGGGACAGCAAAGCGCATAGACCGTTTTTTGCCATTTAATCAGCTCCTCAGACTTAAAGCACATGTATTACAGCAGATGTGGGGTGCCCACTGTTTGTCTTGATCACCTAGTTTACAACCGAAATAAAGCTGATATGCCTTTGTTATTAGTGGAGAGACGCAAAAGTCACATCACCACACACGTAACAAAACTGATCTGGATTGTTTACACACTTTCGAGACATCTTGCATGAACGCTGTCAGCCAACTGAGGAAAAAATGGCTAATATAAAACAATATAATGTACACGTATGTATAACGTAACACAATCATGCCGATTACATCATCTTTCCTTGCCGAATATAAAAATGTAGCACGTGCATTCTTGTAAATTACAGTATACTAACACTGTCACAGCAGGAACACATATAATTACCGTATCTCTAAAACTTGAACTAATATTGAAAAAATAAGTTTCATTCCGGTTTTAGCACATTAAAAATAGTAATATTTTGTTGATTTTATTTAGGATATTTTTTGGCTGTTGATCAGTGATATTGAAGATACTAGTTTAAGTATTTAGACAAAAGAAACAATCATAAAAGCACGTAATAGATAACAAATAAGAGTGCAACTTGCAAGCACAGAAAACTTAACGCAAAAATAAGGTATAACCCTAATGTAAATGAAAAAACAATAATATAAGACGAACAGTTGATATTATGACAAAAAAAAATTTACAACTGAATAATACATGACTCACCTTTTGGACCACTAACTGGTGGTACAGATAAATATCGACCACATATAGAACACTTCAAATTTTGCATCACATATCGTGGCAAATTTGTCATTGCTTTCCTGAAGTCTATAACCGCTTGCCAATTCTTTACAAATCTAAATGGATGCAAATTTCAGTAACGTATAATTACCTTAACGACGACGGTGTCAAACTTACATTCACGTTATCAAACAATGAATTTTCTTATGATAGTAGAAATAGATAAATCGATATAATATGGATAGGGACTTCCCCGATACTTGTAAGGTGCTAGTAGGAGATAAAAAAGTTATTCAAGTCGACTGACTAGGTACTCCTTATACAATACACACAACAAGAAGCATAATAATAATGGGTTATTATTTTTCTATTAAAAGTACAAATAAAAAAAAGCTCATTTGATGAGGGAGGAGGGATTTAACACCGTTACTCTTCTATGCAACCCCCGTAAATAATATTATGTAATATATAATTAAATACAGTTGGATACCATGCTTTAGAGTAAAATTGACAGATGAAAATGTCAAGATGGCCGCTGAAAACGGGGGTCTTGTGACACATCATTTTGAAGCTCCTGACGAGTACTGTATAACCCTAGAATATGAAGTCAATACCTTTACCTACTACAAAATGGTGGTACATTTGATAATTATTTGAACACAAACCAACTAACATGCATATCTCTACAAATAATTGTAATTCCCTGCCGTATCCACAGCAACAGCGATAAAAACTTGTTTTGTTATTTTTCGTTGACAGTGACAAAAATATCAGTACGAACACAAACATCATTGTACAGTTACGATATTCTTGTTTAGTTTTCGGTTTTAGTGCTAGATACTGTTTTAACTATTTTGAAAATGGTCAATATTCGTCCGTTGGAAGAAAAAATTTAAGCGTTTTTTATCTATTGTGCGACGCGTAACTTTCACGAGACCGAAAGGATTTTAATGATCGTTTCCCGAATCGTGCTATCTGCAGAAAATATTTAAGGAAACTTGTATCTAAATTTACAGCTACTGGCCGTCGAGGTCCTGTGGAACGGCCAGCTCGCTCGCCAGATTTGACACCCGTAGACTTTTTTTCATGGGGCTGAACCTGCTTCAGTATTGGATATACGACTAAGAATAACAAATATTTGTAGAAATATCGATGTTACTATGTTTGAAAATGTTCGAGGCGAAATTACGGACCGGCTGTTATTGTGACAATAAGTTCAAGGCAACCATTTCCAGCATCTTCTAACCTGAACTCAACGTATTTATTCACGATTCTGGATTGAATTATTGTTCACTTAAGTTATTGTATCAAGAGCATTTGTTATACAAACCTTCAAGTATTGAAGTATACCGAAATTATGGTCATATTCTGCTGGGTACTCCCTATTAGTGAAGGAGCAGACACTGAGGGGACGTGTGGCGTTATATGTGACCTCGTTTTGAGTGCAGGACATTATTAGACACCTTTCAGTGTAGATAAAAGACCAAGTCACACGATCCAAGTCATTGTGAGCATACATTTTCCGAATAAGTGAATAATTATTGAGATACGCGCTCCAAGAGGCATTTTGTGATTCTGTGGCCATTTTCAAATATGGCAGCCTCATAATGACATGATCTACTAGTATTAGTAGTAGTACTATTGTACTTTGTGGTCGCAATACATTTTGAACTTGTAAAAGTCGTAGTCTCAGAGCTTCGCTACCTTGCACTGACTTGTTCAATTCGTCACTCTTTAAATACGAATGTGGGACAAATACGTTTACTCGTTTCCTGAATCTTGAAAAGGAAAGTGCTAAGAAAGTATTTTAAAAAATATAAACAGATAGTATATCACACAAATTATAGTGAGTCAGTGTTATTTTGTTTGAGAGTGCTGGAGAAAAGTAAGTACATTATTTTTTATTAAATTTTAGCTTTGTACTCGTAGTTAGCAAAGACAGATAAATTACGCCAATCATGACTTTCGTTATTAGTAGTTAAATATTCAATCATGCAAAATTACACGAGTACTCCTCAATAGTTTCTTTTTGAAAGTTTTAGCAATCGGTAATATAATTACAGTGCAATCTCCGTAATTCGAGCTAATTGTTGCAAGATGTTCGAATTATGGAATGTTTTCGGAAAAATCAAAAAATATTTTTAATATACAGCTGCTGGATTTTCTGTCTTATTTAAATAATTTAATTTTGCCCACAGATGACTGATGCCATGTCTGAATCTAAAAAGAAATGTCGACAGTACAGTATTGATTATTTGAAATTTGGCTTCATTGCATCATTGCCGGACAAACAATCGCCTATGTGGATTTTATGCAACAAAGTTTTGACGCAATGAAGCCATCTAAACTGCAAGATTATCTGAGAAGATGCCACCCTGATAAAACAGAGAAAGATTTGAAATACTTTCAAACACTCAAAGATGAATTTCAGAAGAGACCTACACTGCACAGAATGTTCGCTTCGACGTCACAAAGAAATGATGATGGTTTGCGGGCGTCTTACAATATCTCGTTACTTATAGCAAAATCCGGAAAACCGCATACTATCGGAGTGAAGATAATTTTGCCAGCCGTTGAAGAGGTTTTAAAAACTGTTTTACACAAACCTGCATCTGATATCTTTAAAAGAATTCCCTTAAGCAACAATACTGTTGAAAGACATATTGATGAAATGAGTTCTGATATTGAAAGCTTCTTATGTAATTATTTGCAAACGACCCATTCCTCTATACAACTGGACGAGTCCACTTTACCTGATAATGCAGCATTGTTATTGGCATATGTTCGTTTTATTATGAATCAAGAAATCTACGAAGAACTGCTCTTCGCAAGAACTTTGATAACCGACACTGAAGGTGAATCAATATTTCATGTTTTGAAGGATTACTTCATTGAAAAAGCAATTCCTTTATCAAATATAACATCAGTAGCTACAGATGGAGCACCTGCCATGGTTGGACGTTATCGTGGATTTATAAGCTATTTAAAACAAAATGTGTGTTAGCAATACATTGGGGTCATCCATCGACAACATTTAGTTACAAAAAATTTGAGTGTTAGATTGCATGAATCACTTCATTTATTCATTGATGCAGTAAACCGAATCCGAAGCAACGCGTTGAATACGCGGTTACTTGCGCAGTTGTGTGAAGAAAATGACGAACACTTTCATCAATTACTCCTTCACACTGAAGTACGCTGGCTGTCGAAAGGCTTATGTTTGACAAGATTTTTTGCACTTTTTGAGACTATTTTAGAATTTCTGGATACTGAAGATAAAATCTTAAAAGAAAATTTAATGAAGAGGAAAACAGACATCGCCTATTTAACAGATTTGTTTACAAAATTTAATATGGTTAATTTGCAATTACAAGGCAACAGTTTAAATTTGATTAAAACAAATTCCATCTTATCAGCGTTTCTTGCCAGAGTTAAACTAATGAAGCAAAATATTGGACGGGGCGAATTTTCTCAGTTCCCCAATTTGTCACAGACAAGCTGCCAGGAAGACGACGTTTCAACTTACGTTCAACATTTAAATGCCCTCTATTCATATTTTGAATCTAGGTTTGAGGATATTTTGACTATGGTAATATCACCGTGGATAATTAATCCATATGGTGACCTAGAAGAAACGAATGCCATAATACAAGAGGAACTGACTGAACTAAGTACAAACGAAGAACTTAAGGTTCAGTTTAAAAACGGATATCAGCAATTCTGGCTGCAAAACAACATACCCGTTACTTATCCCGTATTATGGAATATAGCGAGGAAATTTTTAATTTCCTTTCCATCGTCATACGTAGTGGAAAGGGGGTTCAGCGCTGTTACCAATCTCCTAACGAAAAAAAGAAACAGAGTGGACATCATTAGCCGAGGAGATTTAAGATTAATCCTTACGAAATTGACGCCAAATGTTGATAATCTATTATTAAAGCATCAGGTTCATCCCTCTCACTCAAAATATTGACTTATTGCTTATATTATTTTATTTATAGATTATTTTATGTTTATTGGTGTCTGACCAATAAATGCCCGCATTGGGAATAAGTGCCCGCATTGACTTTTTTAAAGAAAATATTTTTTTTTAAATTATTCTGAAAATTCAAGGATAGGTAGGTACACACTAAAATTCGTTAATTTTTTGCCTATTTTTAGATAACTTAAACGGAATTTAATCAAACTAACAGTGAAATTATTGTAGAACATACGTTTAAGTTATAATTAATAAACGAACTCGCTTATTCTACTATTTTAAGTAAACCACTTTTTTTTATTATTTTTCACTTTTTTTATTTGATCCCTCTTATTTTTTTTCAATGCGGGCACTTATTCCCAATGCGGGCACTTATTGGTCAGACACCTGTTTATTTAATGTTACGTATATTTTACATAACAGATACGAAATTTTATTTTGAGTAGTTTTAATTTAAATTCAATTATTAAATGTATAAATTAACATGTGTTTTTACTTTAAGTTTTTAACACTAAACTTCACTACAGTCAGAAATTTACAGGAAATCAATATCAGGTAAGTAGTGGGCCTACCCAACACGGAAAAACATGGCAAGGGGTCTACGACACAAAAAAGTTCGGGGAACTCTGATTTAGATGATCTGGGCTGATATCCAAACTAGCAACTCACCGACTCCTCCCTGATGTAAGTTGGCGGCACGACAGGTATCCGTTCCACAATGACGGCTGGTCCGGGAGCACATCCGAATGGCCTGGATAGATCCAGCGGCCTGTTGCCCACGTTGAGATGGTCCTTACTGTGAGACATCTCCACCAAGCACTGAGCCGCAAAGTTAATGTCGTCCATGATGTAGTCACAATAAACTGGACACTGTATACTCAATGTATTCTGTTACACTTCACTCACCATCGCCGGATGTGGAATATTGATTGTCAACGAACAATGTTCTACGTGCAAATCTGTAAACTCGTGCCCGAGATGTTTGAACTGGAAACAGTTACGTTGAATAATGGTTTGTCGGGTATGTTTGATGCTGGGTTGTTGATGGTGCGGATATAATTGAAAGTTTGTCTAAAGATCAATAGGAGAATTGAAACTTGATTCATTTTTAAAAAAGTGAAATACAGTGGACCCTCGATAATCCGGTCTCTGTCTCATCCGGCGCCCCCTGTAATCCTACATGTCTTTGAATATGTATTACATACATACGTATTTGACAATCTTCGCTAATGTAGATCACGCAGGTTTGAACAGGTTACAACTTGTACGCGCCACCGCTATTGTGCTCGACGCGTAAGCATTGTTTTACGTAAGTAAGTAAGTTTAAGCGGTACGGCCTAGCGTGCGTTCATTGGTTATTATTTATTCATTGTGTATTAAGTATTGTACCTAGTAATGTCATCACAAGCTCAGAAGCGAAAGCACAAAACATTGACAATTAAAGAAAAATGCGATATTTTAGACCGCTTAAATCGCAATGAAACTTTCAGTAGTTTAGCAAGTGAATACGGCGTAAACCGATCTACAATTTATGACTGCAGGCCAGGCAAGAGACAGACACTCAAGAAAGCTGAACATCCAGAAGTGGAAGAAGCTTTGTACATGTGGTTTCTTCAGGAAATAAATAGGCATGCACCAATTTCAGGACGCATGTTGGCCATGAAAGCTAAGTTTTTTTAACAAATAACAAAAACAGATGATTTTGCGGCCAGCAAAGGATGGCTAGAACGTTTTAAAAGTCGTCATGGCATACGTTTAATGACTATTACAGGAGAGAAACTTTCTAACGATGCCACCTGCATAGAGCCCTTTAAATTGAGATTTCTGCAAAAGGTGAACGATTTAAATCTTGACCCGTCACAGGTGTACAATGCAGACGAATCAGAGCTTTTTGGCATGTGATGCCTAACAAAACTTTCGTTTCTTGTAACGAAAAATCCGTACCTGGACGAAAAGTAAATAAAGAGCGTGTATCCATACTACCATGTACTAATGCTGCGGGCACACAACTCGCGCTCAAGGTGATGGTCATTGGGAAATCTAATAAACCACGGACATTCAAAAACATTGATTTACCTGTACACTATTACGGACAAAAAAGTGCCTGGATGACAAAAGACCTTTTCAAAAAGTGGTTTGATGAGTGCTTCGTACCTGAAGTTAGAAAATGGTTAAAAGATCATAATTTTCCTCAAAAAGCGTTCTTGCTTCTTGATAACGATCCCGGTCATCCGTCTGAAGAAGAACTAACAACTGAGGATAAATGCATCACTGCGATGTTTCTTCCGCCAAATTGCACTGCACTGATTCAACCAATGGACCAGAATATCATTCAGTTTGTCTATCAAGACTATAAGAAAAACCTACTTCTGAGAGCCGTATCAAAAGACCACCCAATAGAAAAAACTTTAAAAGAATTTAATATGAAAGACTTGGTTTTTGCTCTTTGTCAGTCGTGGAATGCGTTACCGTCATCAACTACTAAATCGTCTTGGAAGAAGTTATGGCCAGATATAGTCACCACTACTAGCAACGTTCCACAAATCAGTGTTACTTCGGAAGTTATAGAACAAGTCGCTACTGAAACACAGATAAGTCCGGAAGATCTGGAAATCTGGTATCGTGGATTGGATAAAGAGGAAAATGTTTTTCATGAAATGTTTGACGAAGAGATTATAAAAGAGGTTTCTAATTTTACAACAAACAATCAGGAAAATAACGACGACGTGATTGCAACTGCTCCACAAGTCACAGCACAAGACGCAATTAAAGCCTTTGAGCTAGGTTAACAATGGGCTGAAGAGAATGGTACATCCTACAACGAACTTTTACTTTTGAGAAGACAAAGCTCTGATCTCGCGTTATAACAACCTTAAACAAAATGAATATTTCCAAGCTTCATAATTTGATAAATTCCTTAATGATTTTGATTAATAATTCTTGACTATTTTGGTACATTATGTATGTGTATTTATGCTTAATTTTATAATAAAACGTAAGCTCTCTATTGTTATTTAATTTACTAAATTTGACATACGTAAACGATGTATGATTTGTACTTCAAAGTACATACATATACATAACGGATATAATCTTACCATTGGATATGTAACTTGTCGGATTACAAGGTACTCTTTTGTAAAAAATTCCGGACTATAAGGGGTCTTAGGCAGTGCTCTATAAACCGACAAATTCGATAGTCCGACACTGCCCTGCATAATGTTTGTCGGATTACCGGAGGTCCACTGTACCAAGTTCTAATCATACAGAAAAAGCTTGAGCTTCCTCTCTGCAAGCAACTGAATCCGGTTTCGTCCAAAATATATCCATAGTTCATTGAAACAGAGCATTTACATCATATTTAGTAAATTTGAATGCCAACCTTAATGCAAAATAGATCCTTTAGAACATTTATGTTGGTAACAGTTTTCTGCGTTGTGACATTGTCGCAAAGCTTGTCATATAATCACGCTAACGGCTGTTGTTTATTTGTGGTTTATTTTCGTTCTTTTTGCCACAAAATTTCCATTGTCATTTTATACAAAAAAAATTTGTTAACCCTGAGGTGTCCTTTTGAGCATTTTGCTGAAATGCCGAGCAAACAAACGAATTCGTCATTCCTTTGACGGAACATTTTGAGACCGAACGAGATCATGGAGCTCCATTGCTGCCGTTACAGTCCGTAGGAGAGGTATTAGGTAGTAAATAGAATTTATACTAGCTCCAGCACTTACAAAACATACGCTCCGTAATGTTGGTTGCGGTTAGGCATTGAAGACATAAAGTAGATTTTGTAAGCCGTCCTAGGATCTAGTAGTTTTAGTTAATGTGGCAACCATGCGCGTCACTATCATTATTTGACGTTGTGACGTAACTGCTTTGATTCAGTGAATAAACGATACATTGCAACATACAAGTTCGAACATTTTCATTCGAAATCGTGAAATAGATAGATCTGAGAAACATTATTTGACGTTTGAGGTTGGGTCTGAATGAAAATAGTTGTGTATTTGAAGTGAATGTTG